CGTTAGAAGTCCAAAGAGACAAGCTAACATACTTCCTCTCATTTGTGAACGGTTACGGAAAATAGTCTTCAAGTACGGTCGCATTTGAACTTATTACCTCTCGTCCCTTGTACTTCTGGTGAAATCTTTCCATGTTGCATCACCTGGTAGGGTTGTTAGTGCGAGATCTGGGATTTTTGTGGAAATTTCATCCTGTAAGTGAAGCCGATTTATGCTGAAAAACCGAGAAGCACTGTACGGCTGTCTCATTCTTATTGGGAATCGTCAGCAGTGCGCATCTCACAAAACTTCGGAAAGTCTCGAACCCGCAACCACCTGGCTTGTAGTTTGAACACTTAACCGTTCGATCACGAGTGGCTGATCAGCAGTGTGATTAACTCGCACATAGACAGGATATAGCGCCGCTCATCCTTCAATCACGGGATCCACATCACGCGGTCACACGTGCTGACTGGCTCCGGGGGCAACGACTTCTCAGATGGAAGTTTCAGGGGGGGCCACCTGGCTTGTAGTTTGAACACTTAACCGTTCGATCACGGATGGCTGATCAGAAGTGTGATTAACACGCACTTAGACCGGATATAGCGCCGCTCATCCTTCAATCACGGGATCCACATCACGCGGTCACACGTGCTGACTGGCTCCGGGGGCAACGACTTCTCAGATGGAAGTTTCACTCAGGGGGTGAACTTTATTCTTCCACTAAGATGCTGAGGGATAGTTTGTTTTTGTTTTCAAAAGTTCACTTCATGTAGTGCAACTGCCTACTCACCGGGACGGTTACTGACGGTTCCAATTAGCTTCCTGATTCTATTACAAAAATTGAGAAAATCACAATTTAACTCCTAGCGTCCTTCGTTCAAGTAATCGCAGAGCAGTGCACGCAACAGAGTAATAAATTTTACCACACGTCTTATATGTGGTCACAATGAAACTGTCTTGCGGCAATAATACAAAAATATTTCGTGTGACAGCGTCACGATACACTGATGGTGTTGGAAAATTGATCCCCTGTTATTCCTAACGAATAATTTATTTGAAGACTTAATTTTTGTAAAGTCACTTACGGTTAGCGAACAGAACAAAAGCACATTTGGTAAAAGATGATGTTTATTGAAGAAATGCACTCAATTGAATTTTGCGTTGATGTAGGCGAAGGACTCGACTGAAATTCTGGTACTGAATTTATTTCGACTGAATGTGCCGCACCGGTCTTAATGGGTACACCAATAAAGGAGAGATTCATTTGGGTCTCTCTTTAACAACGGATAATTCACAGATAAGCACATCCCGTTTAATTACATCTAAGTGATTAAGGCCACCTTGTCATCTTGAATAAGTGGACCCGTTAAGTTGCTTTTGAGAAATCTTTGACTGACCTGAATATGAAATGCGTTCTACTAATTCACTGTGGCACTCGGGTGGTGTCAGATTTGCTTAACTGATTGAGATATTTTTATTGCAGATCTACATCATTTCGAAATCAACTTCTTTGCTCTAAATGGAGACCTTTCATCCAGAAAGTTACTTCTTTATGCAGGGAGTTATTTACGTAAATTTGCTTTTCCCTTTAGGACTTATCATCGGGCATAATAGTTTACACAGTATCGAATACTAATCTAATTCCACTAGGCAGTTTGACTGATGGATGTGAGACGTGTTACTTTGATTAAACACCTAGCTCTTTATTGGTTTGCGCGCGATTCTCTTCGCAAGCACTCAGTCGGTGAATATGGAAATTACCCAACTGGTAGAGTTGTGTCTTCGAAAATCACTTGCGTACAATATTCATAATTAGTGAGTATGATTCATCATACAAGTGCAAAAAGCCGTAGGTGAGTTGCACGCTTGCAAGTGGGTTTAAACCACTATCTGGTTGTGAATTTCATCTGAAGCGCGAAAAGTAACCAACTCATCAGATCACCAAAATATACCCAAGCTTGTGCCACAGATAATTAAACTGATCGCTTAATTTTGAGTTATTGCGTTCATCAAAGTCAGGCCGCTACAAAGGACCTTCCCCTTTCAGCAGGGCACAAAATAAATCACATGTGACAAGCCTTTAGACTGACGGAAATATAATTTACATCCTGTAAGTGAAGCAAATCTATGCTGAAAAGCCGAGAAGCATTGTACAGCTATTTCATCCTTATTGGGAATCATCAGCAGTGCGCATCTCACGAAACTCCGAGGAGTCTCGAACCCGCGACATCCCGGCTAGTAGTTTGAACACCTAACCGTTCGACCACGAGTGGCTGATCAGCAGTGTGATTAACTCGCACATAGACAGGATATAGCGCCGCTCATCCTTCAATCACGGGATCCACATCACGCGGCCACACGTGTTGACTGGCTCCTTGACTGGCTCCTCGTGGCCGAACGGTTAGGTGTTCAAACTACTAGCCGGGATGTCGCGGGTTCGAGACTCCTCGGAGTTTCGTGAGATGCGCACTGCTGATGATTCCCAATAAGAATGAGACAGCCGTACAGTGCTTCTCGGTTTTTCAGCATAAATCGGCTTCACTTACAGGATGAAATCTCCACAAAAATCCCAAATCTCCTCACACTACCAACAATATAATTTACAATACGTTTCCCAAGTATATCCAGGCCTCTAGAAAACAGACACACTACAGTGGGGCTATTTTAGTGCTCTGTAAAAAATTAAACATTATCATACCTAGACCATTGTCCCACAGCCAGTCGGCCATGATATCTACCTTAATGTAGTTTACCTAATTACCGATTTGACTGCTTTTTGAGTCACAACATTACACGAATTTCGCACATTACCACGCTTAACTTGTTACGCGCAGCCTTCAGCAATTGTTATCTCAAATGCACTATTTCGCTCCAAGTACTGGCAAAGTATGACCAGTAATTCCAGGGTTTTTAACCTCAAACGAACTTTCAGAGGCAGGAGAGTTTTCTCGCGGAAGAGGTCAGAAAAACTGTGCCGTCCAACGCTGGTAATAAACGGTGGTGTAACATAAAGAGTAAAGTACAGATACCCGTTTTTTTTCGTTCCGTTCTCCGGTCTATAACTTCCATTTACATGTGTGGCATGTATCACATTGTTTTTCTGTGGCTGATTCATGCTAGTGTTAATGCAGTATGTCCAGTTTAGTTAAAATCAAAGGAAATCAAAAACCAGACTTCTAAATAAAAATTATGTTTTAAAATACTACCTCATAGAAATTTGACTCATCAGACGAGTTGTCACTCCAACAATTAGGTGGTGTTATTATTCTCGCTTGAATTCATTACTGAAATTGCCCCCTGTTAGTGGTACCGGGATAATTATTGAGTTGGTGGCCAATGAATAAGATAGACCGCGCAAAAATTCTGAAGATTTCGTACATAAAATCCTCTGCAGTTACGATAAACGTAATAAATCATTGACCACAAAAATTTTTTTAAAGTGATGAAAACCCGAGAAATAAAACTTGCAATCTTGTGCAAGCTGTTTCGTTCAAATATTATTCATTAACTAACCAATTGCCTCTATTATTTACACAGGGAAAGTATCCATGCAGTCCGAAAGAAAGCCAAAACCAATGAAACTGAAAACCCCGTCAGAAACCCCCCTTCCTCTATTTCTCTATAAAAATGTGCACCTTTACACTGATTTTAAAATCCAAATAGCTGCTAAAAACCGATCTACCTTGTTTCCGTAGGATGAAGACTCATGGAAAGATCCAAAAAGATGAACTATCAGTAGCTGTAATAGGCTGAGGGGCAAAATAAATGTCTTTGCATTGGGAGCCTGAATAGGGCTAATCTATTTTCCAACGGTTTATCATCCAGTTTAAAAATCCTCCAGTTTACAAATATTTGGAATGGTAAGAGGTGACTGGTGTCCATCTTTGATTGTAAGTTTGGTGGGACTATTCCACGCTATAAAGCTAACACTTTACCCTTCCATTCTGCAAGAAATCAGAAGTGATTACTTAGGACATAACTGTACCATGGGCCCTTTTGACCTCTGAGCCTTTGTTAAAATTGTGTTCTGAAAAGTATTAGAACAAACAAAAACGAGGCTATTTGACTTTAATAATCACTGGATAAGAATACGGGAATATGATACTGAGGTTGTGCAGTAAACGGTTTTCTTGCTTATTTCAAGCTTGCCATTTAGTCGCTGGAAATTGCATGCGTGTGGTAAGAAAACATTCGTCGGTTGTTTTACCAAAGGCGTTTTCCATCAGCTAAATCAAGAAGGCTTATGTGTTACAAGACTGCTATGGCTCAGATAGGCGTAACATTTTAAACTGGACCAACATCGCAGCAATATCTTAACACACTCTGATCAGGCAGTTGACAGTATGTCCAGAATTTGTTAATTCTGAATATTGCCGTACCAGAGCTTGCTTCAGATTCCAGAGGATTGCTAGCGCCATGTATGAAACGTGCTCATTTGCCTATAGACAGTGTGTTGAAATGCAGTTACGAGTACAATTTTGCGCGAGCCAAGGAACAGCGGGGCCTTCTGAGATAAACCTTGTTGCATTCCGTTTCTAGTCCCCTATAGCCGTCGAGCAGCCTGCTTCGCCACAGGGAAATAGATGATTCCGTCCATTCATAGTTATGCTGGGACAGTGATCAGACCGAGGTTGGAAACCTGTGTGATTATGTTACTTTAATCACGAGGTTTACCTCCACATTGTGCTAGTTACTTTTCGTCATGTGAATAGACGCAAATATTTTAAATTGCCCTTGGATTAGCACCTTCATTGTTTAAATCTTTTGTAAGTTCATGTGAAATCAAATGTAAGCAGTCTGAGCGTTTGTTTACCCGCGTGACCAACTGGTACAATAATTAACTCACACATTCTAGTTAATTTTAGCCGGAGACTGTGCGTTTACTGGCTGACCAACGTTTGCATTGCCATTTCACTTAGACCGTTACTGATTGGATATACCCGTGTTCACACAAGCCTGTACCAACCAATAGATGTGGCTTCACATCACCCAATCACATTGCATTGTACGTATATCACTGGACGGAATGTTTCGAATCATGAATTACAACTGAAATTCATGCGACCATAAACATCATGAAGTACCTGTCCATTTAACTGAGAAGACAGTTTCGTTTCCACTCTTCATGCATAATGGACCTGTTTGAAGACCTACATGCTGATCTAATTTCTCTACTTTCCGGGACAAACCAATCGGCCAATGACTGCTATGGAAAGTGCTCGCCTTCCACGATTGTTAATGGCACTTCGAATGAAAGTATGCTATCACTGAAGTTATCTATGAAACAAATAATTGATCAGTGCTCTGGTTTAACTATCAGTAGTGAGAAACAAGAAAGAGAATACATAGTTGCCATCATTATGGGAATTTTGGGGACATTGGGATTACTTGGAAATATCCTCAGTTGTGTCGTGATTGCAGCCCACCTGTTAAAGATCTCCGGGACTTTCGTCCTTTTCCTTCTACTCTCTATTGCTGATTCCGTTGTTGTAGTTGTGCAGATAATCGATGCGTATCGACACTCTGTATGGGTGGATTCCTACATGCAGATTCATCCAGAGGATATTTCTGACCCTGTCGCCACAGAAAGACGAGACTGGAATTGCAAACTCTTCCTTTATTTTTGGCATTTATCGCTACAATATGCAGCGTGGGTGGTAATGTTCCTGAGTGTGGATCGGTTCATCAGTTTGAGGCACATTCACGTAACCCATAGCAGAGGATACGTTTACCGAAGGGCGTGGATAATTGGTGGCGCGATACTCATCTTCCTAATGGTAGCAAACCTGCCATTTCTTATTTATGCGCAATCAGCCGTTTCTCGGACGCCGTGTGGGGTAAGTTAAAAGCTTTTATGTTTTGGTAAATTATATAATCATCCGGTTTCCAAAGAATAACTCGGTTAGCATAATAGCGAGCCAACAAATAATTGACAAACTTTTATGCCAAAAATTACCTATTGTTTTCTTTCTACATGCTTCTTTGTTTTTATGGAACAAAAAACAACCTAAAAAACAACTGTCCACATTAACTTAAGCAGTTTGCTTTCATTTAATTGCGTTGGATTTGTTCGTTTGATTACAGTTCTAGAGGTTCTTCTTTTTGTACCCACAAGACCAAAAACCACCAATAAAGTAGCGAAATACACTCATTTACAAACTAATTTAGTTTTTCGAGAGACTCACCTGGAACCCAGCTGAACTCTCGTTCGTGATGTTTCTAGGCAACTGAATGTGCCGCACCAGGCCGCCTTATGTTTCACTCTTTACGATATTCTAGATATCGCGATACATATATATTTGTATTGCACTACGCATAAGGTTGCTGAAAATTCGTTGACAGCTCACGACCGGTTTCGCCCTTCTTGGGGCTCATCAGGTAGGCGCAGTCCCCGGGTTTCCGTCAACCTTATGTTCTACTTGAAACCTAATTGCACGAAATGAGCGAAATACACTCATTTGCAAACTAACTTGGTTTTTTCGAGAGACTCACCTTGAACTCAACCGAATCTCTCGTTTGTGATGTTTCTAGGCAACTGAATGTGTCACTGATAAGATATTTTGGAAATATCCTGATTAGAACAGAAATCACCTGAACAAAAGTCTACTGAGGGTTGGTCAAAACCGACGCGGTGTTCTAGCACCCTGTGGTTGTATAATTCCACGAATTTGCAACATGATTGTCTTCGAATCTAGAAACTGATGATGATGGCATTCAAGGTGTCTGAAAGCCTAGTTCTAGTTGGATTTGTAGGCTTTGTTGAGATTGATCAGTTTGGGTTAGAGGTTGCGAAACTGCCTGCTATCTAGCAACTGGACGATTTTGGGAACAGTTTGTCAAAATATCCTGATTAAGATCTCTTCTAAAAGCAGCATGTTTCTTGATTATGAACAGAATGTAGATAAAAGGTCACAAAGCGGCCACGTCTTTTTCAAGGTCATACCAAGTATTCTGGATGATAAAGCTCTAGGGCCTCAATAGGTTTTCTGCTTAGGCACTAAATATAACAGGGATATATGTCGGTTATTTTGTACTCTAATGCTACAAAATCGCTTTTTCTCTAAAACAGATCTTAGAATTTATCAAGATAATGAGTACATTTACGGATTTGTTCAGTAAATGAGAATACTCTTGGTGATTTTTGTGGAGCAACACTGCACTTTCCATATGGTTGCTAGAAAAGTTTTGATAGTCCACGATCCTTCTAACCTTTATGCTATAATGGCTGGTCCATTGCCCTGAGGAAAACAGTTGGTGGTATTCGACGGCCATCTTTTGTTCTGCATAGTGCATTCCAAAAAACATCTTCCTCATCAAATGAAGAGTAAAATGAAGGACTATACCACGTTGAATTTGTTTAAACTTAATCACTGATCAAGATCACAAAAGTGCCATTAGTAACTTGCGAAACTGATTAACTTACTTGACTGAAGTGACGTCTAGGGTCTGGCCATGAAAATATATGTAGTAACTGAGCTTGTTACATAAAATCAATAGTTGTTGATCCAATTTGTTTTTGAAAGGATGGCAAGAATGAGCGATCTGATACTGAGTAAAGCAGTATAAGGAGCAGTGGATAAAGTGTTAGCTTCAAAAATTCAAACCCGGTTCTATTTGAAATGTTTATACCGTCGCAAACTTGAAGGCAGGCATAAGCCTGGCAAGGCAAGAACCCATTAATTACTGCTTTCTTCGATGTTCTATTTTGAAGTGCCTCAGTAACAGGTAGATTCTGTTTACTTATGCATCAGGTTTTTTTTGCAAAGTCATTACTCGATATCACAGTATGTGTTTGAGGCATGCTAGCATCTGAGTATTTCATCGCATTGGAATTTACTTTGTGTCCAGTTGTTGCCGTAAATGTAAGCCCGAAATCTCTATAATTTTCTGCAATTACTGACTATCTTTGGTCGACAAACTGCGTGTGCTTGAACGCTATTTGTCCACCTGCGGAGTGGCTTTATTCTGTCGAATATCACAAGACTTAGGTTCAGTAGCCACCGTTTATTATTACGCCTTTCATCCTTATTATTACTGATGGGTAGTCTTACAGTTATATCGGAGATGACTGGGTTCTTTCATTCGTGAATTTCAGGTTTTGCATCTGTGTCACACTCAGTTGGGTGGAACGACATTCATTTATTTTGATCATAGGTGTTGCCATCAGTTCAACAGTATGAAAGCATGAAACTTTTTTGCATTTTTCGGTCACTTTGGTTCGTCAATCGTTTGCAGTTTGAAAGTGATATTTATGTGCTTTGCGAGCCTGCTACGAAAAACGTTAGTTGTGGTCCCATACACGCGACGAACCTAAGTATCAGTTATAGCAGGTACTCGTACGCTGTTTCAAACCTGTAAAATTTTTAAGTAAAAAGCCCGCCATGATAAGCATTGGTCACATAACAAGGTTTAAACCAGCCAGTAATGTGTTAAAGGCGCAGAAAATGTTATTCTCCGAATGACTATCTAAGCGAAATGTCAACCTTTTACACGCACTGGAACGTGGAATACCAGTTGTTTGTCAAATGTGCGGTTTTCGTGACAGTGCGAAACATATGCTTCCTGTTTATATGCAAAGCCGTACCGCGCGCACACCCATTAGATAGTAACAAAAGTGAAGAACTACGTCAGTTCTGGTGGCGGATTTTAACAATGAATGTGCAAGGTAAACAATTTTATGTGATGCACTCACTGAAAAGTCAACTGTACAGACTATTTACCCATGCTATATTTTGAGCATGTATCTGAACTAGGCAGTGATTATGCAGTCACCCAGAGCACCTAATTTGTGTTAGGAATTTCGAAAAGTAAAAAAGAAACCAAAACGATTTTAGGAATTAGACTGATATCGCTTTTGACGGGGTGAAAGGCCGCGTAATCTAGAGGCTTTCCGCAATGCAAAATGTAGCGCTCATCCCCAATTCGGTCTAAATTGAATCACGTGATCTGTAATGTAAAGATATGTGTTTTGCTCCCCACTGTTACCAAAACGGCCGAAACTCAGGCTCCAGTGAAATTACAGGAAATCGACGCAGCCGATAAAAAGGACTTCCATGAACGAACGATTGCCAATAACACACATTCATAGGTTTGCATCTGTTCATTAAAAGCGGTAGTCAAAAGATCTTCAAAATAACGGTACCACCCTACTCTCGGAATGTAATTATACTTGGTTGTCATTCAAGCGCTGCTAAAAGATATTTGCTTTATTGATTGCACTAGGTTACCCATGTCAACACAACCAGTCCTTTTTGCGGTAGAACCGATGTTCCAAAAACGTCGACAGGGAATAATAATTCAGCCTTCTAGTAAAGGGGTACGTTCATGAGAAAAAGTGCAAATATCAGTGGAAAGCAACTTTAAAAATTCACTGTGAGGTTTCAGCTGTTGGTGCTAATCCAGATAAACTCCTTAAGGTATGTGAAGGTAAACTATTGCATACGTGGTTCACATTGCGTATATACTCTTTTATACGCCCATTATCGGCAAATGAAAGGGATCGGAAACAGCACGACGATGTGAGACTGCATAAGAACAACAACATCTAAAGTTCAGTTCTGGGTATGAATAACTTGCAAAGTCAGATCTCCCCTTGATCCCTGGTCGGACCCCCTTACCTCTTTTATCTAAAGGAATAATTTGCTTGGATAGATGTATAGGAGATTCTCACAGTCCTTGGAAAGTGTGTTTGACAAACCGAGATTACTTTTCTTACCAACTTGCTCCTTTTTGGTAAAATTCATTTTCAGTATGGTTTTATTCCATCGAACAAAACCGCTTTAGGCTCACTGTTGAACGCATCGGTGATTCGTCTCTACTGTACACTCGAACACTTGACGTGTATCCTAAGGATAAACTTATAAACAATAGTAGCATCACCGCGGGCAGCAAAGCTGAATCCACACTGACAGTTGTGGAAAGCCGTAGTGCCACTTGTCATGCAAGAAAGGGCCAATATCGATCCAAGTAATAAGTATGCCCTCCTCACTTGGCAATCAGTGTGGAATAGTTTTATTTTCAGGTGGTTTTTCAAATAACCGAAACTCGGAGTCAGGCTTGTAGCTCGTTCTCTGCATCAAGAAAAGTGCTTTCATTTTTTTCCTGCAACACAAATTTGTCAAATCACATGGACCGGAATAGTCTATTTCTTACTGTGTAGATCTACAAATGCTAGAAACAACTGGTCACCTTCGGCGACGGACGAACCTGATCGATGAGCTGATTGGAAACTTTAACACGTTGGATTTCCACGTATTATGCGAAGCAAGTCAGCTGCTTCGCATACTATCACATAGCAGATATTCAAGAAGAATATAATGAGAAGACAAATGTTGCCATCAGCTCTTCAGTCAAATTACTGAAAACCATCAATTTTACACCTTTTGCGTCATAAATAGCAACGAAACAGTGGTACGGAGCCAGTCATACGGTGCTCGAATCAGGTCTGCCATCAGGTAAACTGACGGGTCATTTGTTCGTACACGCTGGATTGATATTGACAGATCAAATTGGCCCCGCTGAAAGCTAACAATTTCTCATTTAGATTGCGCAGCAATAATTCTGATCGCCGTGGTAGGATCCAATCTGTTTTCAGTGGATTGAATGTGTTCAGTTTTCGGGTCCTAGCTTGCAGGCCATTCGGTCGGCCGATTAGTCACATGACTCAAACAACAAGGCAAATGTTCTGAAATGAGCTGGCACAAGCTCCTATCTGTTTTGCCAAAGTGTTTCACCACAACTGCATGTAAGCTGATACTCAGCGTGTGAGAGACTGGCCAGAGAGACTGGCCACAATATGCGGCGTACAGTGGAGATTGACCTGTCTGGTTAATTAGAG